CAATCCCGGGCTGTGCCTATCCAGCCAACTCATGCCCAACACTATGGGCGTGTCTGATAGGTGAGTGACGTTAAACTGATGACTTCGCGATGATTCCCAATTTGCATCACCATAGGTGGTGTTTGCTGTACCACTTGCCCCCCTAGCAGCTTCCTGCCATCAACTGTGACGACGTTCAGGGGCATCGTGGCCGGTAGAAGCGCTATGCGGTGCTGCTTGATGAAGTCCACCCCCACAAAGTCTGCATTGCTCCAGAGTCAATGGTAATGGGGACTTCCAGGGTGAATCCATTGGGCAACTGGAGTGATGCAGTGAGTTGCACCACTGGTTTGGGCGGGAGGGGTCTGTGGGCTGCAGAATCTCTGGGGACTGCTTCAGAAACGTGCCTGGCTGGGCCCCAGTGCCTCTGATTCCAACCAGGCTTGGCCGTTTCCCTGCTGCTCATCCCCCTGCTGAAAATCTCCTTTTACTGTTGCTGAGGCTGCAGTGTGCTTCTGGATCCTCTGGGGACACTCTTTGGCCAGGTGCTGTGCACTGTCGCATATGATGCACTTCCTGCTCCCTCTAGGAGTTTTCGTCTTGGCTGCTCCTGGTGTTAGGGCTCTGGTCGCTGTCTGAGCCTTAACGCTACCCAACTCCATCGGTTCTTCTCCCTCCCCCAATGGAGGCGTGGAGTTCGCGCGTCCACTCTCCCTGGGCATGAAGGGAGGTGCTCTGGTCGGTGTGCGTGCGAAGCGACCCTCATCTCTGCCCCATGGGCGTTCCTCCATTCTCACTCCTATCGTGAGCGCTCTCTGAACGACTTCTGCCGTGGTGCTAGGTCTCTCTCCCCTGGCCAGCTCATCTTTCACGGAAGCATTCAGCCCCTCCCAGAACAGATCCCTCACTGCTGCAGAGTCCTTTTGCCAGCGTAGCGTATTTACCAACGCAAAAAAGCGGGAGTGATATTGTCTTACTGTTGCTTTGCCCTGCCGCAAGCCGTGCATCTCCCGTCTAGCCACGTCTACATCTGTGGTAGACTGGAAACAAGCGTCCATAGCCGCTATGAAAGCGTCTGAATTCTGGAGGGCGGGATCATTGTCGCGCCATAAATTGCGCAGCCAGGATCTTGCTTCTCCATGCAAGTGAGTTATGATAAATCCCACTTTTTCCTCCTCATCTCTAAAGTCCTTCCGAAGCAGTTTGAGCGCAAAAACTACATCTGCTCTGAAGTTAGGGTACTGCTGCAGGTTTCCATCGAAGTGGGCTACAATGCTGCCCCCCCCCCCGCTTTCCGAGGCCAACTCCCTCCGGTCTGGTTCCCGGCAGCCCTTCCTTGCCCAATTTTTCCCACCTGGTTCGCAGATCCTCGCAAAACTTCGCTGCTTCCTCCTCTCTCTTCCTGGAAACTTCCAGCTCTGCGTAAAGCGTCTCAACCGCTTTTTCCAGCTGTGCCACCTTCCCTTCTGTAGCCATCTTCCCTCTCTTCGTGAGCTCGCAAAACACCAAGTTTTGCCCCTCTCCGCGCCGACTCGCGCTGAGAGGGTTAATTTTTAAGAGACGGAACTTACTGTCAGCGGCTGCCTCCGGTCCCAGCTCACAAAGGACCAACGCCAGTTGCTCTTTATAAACAAAAGTCTTTATTGTGGTTCATTGTTGGTTTGACATCAGTGGCGCGCAGCGCTACGTCTGAGTCCTTAGACCGGCGAAGTCCCGTCTGAATCCGCCCCTCCTTTACACCAGTTCAATACCCGAGCTTTGCTCCACCTCTTCCTTTCCTCCCTCTGCTCCTTTCGCCTCCGGGTCCTCCTGCCCTCTGGGGTTCCAACCCTCCTGGACTCTTCGGAGGCGGATTCTTCTGACTCCTCCCCCTGTCTCCGGCGGGCTTTGGGACCTGGCTCCCAATCCGGATTTTCTGCTGTCCCGCGCGCCTCTACATTTGAACTTGGCGTGCGCGCCCAGCCGCCCACTTTCCCCCTAACGGCTACACTGCTCCCTTCACTGCTTTCTCCTTCAGGGAGGCTGGCCGGCCCTGCTCTCTCCTCCGCCCCTCCACTCTCTGACAGAGGCGTGGTCAGTCCTGCCTCACTCTCTCCTCCTGCAGGAGGAGGCTTTTGTTCTAATCTGTGGGATTCTTCCCCCCCCCGCTGCGCTCTGGTGAGGAAGCTAGCCCTGATTTCCAGCTGCCGCTTGGCGACTCCCCACTGGCCCCCCTTGCCCTGACCCTGGGGGCCTCCTTCTGGGAATCTTCTGATTCGCTGGAGAGACTCAGGGAATCTCTCTGGTCACTGTCATACCCTCCTGCGCTCCCCTCCGATTGTTCCCCTTCGCTCTCCATCTCCTCCTTCTCCTGTGGCTCAGTCCCTGAGCCCCCGACACCCGCCCATCTGGCTGGGTTTCCCTAGCCACTCTGGGCGGCTCCCAACAGAATATTAAAAACACGATAAACATTAAAAACTTCCCCAAACAGGGTTGCCTTCAGATGTCTTCTAAAACTCAGATAGTTGTTTATTTCTTTGACATCTGATGGGAGGGCATTCCACAGGGTGGGCGCCACTGCCAAGAAGTCCTTCTGCCAGGTTTCCTGTAACTTCGCTTCTCGCAGTAAGGGATCTGTCAGAAGGCCCTCGGCGCTAGAGTTCAGTGTCTGGGCAGAATATTGGGGGTGGAAATGCTCCTTCAGGTATACTGGGTCAAGGCCATTTGGGGCTTTTAAGGTCAATACCAATTGAATTGTGCTCGGAAACCTACTGGGAGCTAATGCAGGTCTCTCAGGACCGGTGTGATATGGTCTTGGCGGTCACTCCCAATCACCAGTCTAGCTGTCACATTCTGGATTAGTTGAAGTTTCCAGGTAACCTTCAAAGATAGCTCCATGTAAAGTGCATTGCAGTAGCCCAAGTGTGAGATAACTAGAGCATGCACCACTCTGGCAAGGCAGTCTGCTGGAAGGTAGAGTATCAGCCTGTGTGCCAGATGGAGCTGGTAGACAGCTGCCCTGGGCACAGAACTGACCTGGATGAGCTCTGTTAGTTGTCCCCTGTGTTACAAAGGGCCACATGGCCTCTACCAGAAGCCAGGCATTTAGTGTTGTTGGTCCCATACTTTGAAACAAGTTGGTAGAGCATGGGTCCCACATTGGGCAAAAAGATTCCTGCCTTGCAGGGAGTTGAACAAGATGGCCCTCGTGGTCCCTTCCAATGGTATGATTTTATGAACTCTATGAAACCCTCATTCAGCAGGCATCCTCGCTTTTGACTTTAAGGTCTCATGCTGCAGCCACCTCAAAAATTCTACATTCTGGGCTGTGTGGATGGCCTTCCTTTAATGGCAATTAAATCACGGTCCGTTTTTAACCTGTGCCCTGTTTGACCTTGGGGGGGGGGGGGCGAGTCTGGAGAAGCGACAACGTGACATTGTGTGCTTGTGTGCAGGACCACAATGGACCACAAGAACCCCCGAAAAAGAGTAAGAGAAAAGGAGAACATGTGCAGCTCCACAGTTGTGTGAGGGAGCAGAGGGAGCAGAGAAAGGGTAGGGCAAGAAGGAAGAAAAACAGAAGTGATGGACAGAGTATCCCATGTTTTCAGGGATGCCTCCTTGAAGCAGTGAGCACTAAGGTGTGGCATGAGGACCTAGAGTCCTGGAAAAAATTTGTGGATGTCCCAGGACAAAACTAATCTGCATCTTGACAAGCGGAAGAAAACAAAAGGAAGTGTGGATAAAACTTCAGTCCATAATTACCACCACCAGAGGGCAGACAGGAACTATTGGCTAGATTTGTGAAAGTTACCCAATTCTCTTTTAAAAAACCAAACCTTCAGCTCTCTATGACTGTTAAAGGTCTCTTCCAGACAACCTGTTTATTGAGCATTCATTCCGATTTCTTATAGGGTGGTCCTGCTAAGCAATTTTCCAAAATAGTCATAAAAAATATTAGCCAGAAATTGACTGCAAGGTACTTTTCAAGAAAAAGTGACTAAAATGAACCCTTGTTTACCTATATTCTAATATACCTCATTAGAGCATGACAAGGCTCTATAGGGAGCCATTAGTGCAACTTTATTGAAGAAGCTCCTCTATTAGAAGGTACTGATTTGTGTCTGACTTTTTTCACTTCCTCCTATTATAGTAGTGCTGTCTACTTTTCAATATGGCAAGATCTGAAGTTGGTTTGTGCAAAGATACAGATGACAGAGCCTTTTGGCTTCTTTGATTATGTTTTAGTGTCCTGGCTGGGTCCAGACCTTGAAAGACTTTTATCCCGGGTATAGTTCATGTGAGATAGGCATAGGTTCATTGGTTTTTATTCAAACATGTCAAGAAGATTCTGAAACCAAAGGTTACAATGTATTCTTACCTTGTAACTGGAATGCTCCTGTTCAGAGTTCCAACCAGCAAGCCCCGGAATATTATGGGAATACCTCTCCCAATCGTGGGTCCACACATGTTGTTGTTGGACTACAACTCCCATCACCCCTGCTCACTGCTAGCTTAGGGATGATGGGAGTTGTAGTCCAACAACATCTGGGGACCCAAGGTTGAGAAAGGCTCGTGCAGACATATTGAGCTATATGAATCAGTCATCTGACTTATACTAAGGCACCTTCTGATGCGTCAATCAGCAATGACTAAAGCCAATTGGCCATTAACTTCACAAACATGGTGGTCTCCTCCTGGGGCATCATCCATTTCTGTCATAGCAATCAAATGCAGACTTTGTGGCTACAACATCCAGCAAGTTCTCTCTCTGTGTCGCCCCAACCATTTTGTCTTTGCTTAACAACTGTCAGCATTAAGAGTGCCAGCAAATTCCAGATTGGCTTGCTCTTTGTTGTCCAGATTGTACTGGAATATTAGTTGTTGTTAACAGTATGTGATGACGATGCAAAGAAATTGCTTACAGTTTTCTGTTGTTGCTTTTCTTTTTCAATCTTCCGGCAAGGCAGGTGACACTAGAGGAAGATTAGCAAATCTGATTTCCCAACTCAACTGTAGCCTTGCAACTCCTTAAATACCAGCCTTGCTCAGTTCTGAGCCGTAGTGCTTGATTGCTGGAAGAGCCATGAAGACACTGGTGACTTTTGCCCTTGTGGGACTTCTAGCCCTTTGGCTACCTTTCACAGCTTGTCAGAAGACTCCAAAAGGTGAGGCATAAAACCAGCTGCTGCTTGGAAAGGGAATTAGATAGGGAAAACCCACTGAAAGTAGCTAAAGCAGTTCCTTCCACGTGGTCAGTTAATGGAAGGAGTTCTGAATCCGGCATAATCAGCTGGAGCAGGAAACAGGAAAGCCAGGTGTTGTTAGGAGGTAGGCAGCAATCCTATATCCATTGACTTGGGAGCAAGCCCCACTGAATCGTGTACCACTCAAAGATTGGTGGGGCCCGCAACAGTATTTTTGAAGTCTAAAGGAAGCCCCATGTCTTCTTGTTGGGTGTGCTTACAAAGCACCTTAAATTGGATAAGATTAGTTCACTGGTTGTATTTGAAAGCGGTCTTTGGTAGTTCAACAATACATCTTGTAGTTTGCTTATGGTTTTGTAAGTTGCCTTGAACAATGAGCTGGAGCACAAATGTTTAAATAATGCACCAAGATACAAAACCTACTGTGCTGATTCAGAAGACTTCCAAATATCTGCTTGTGTGACTACCTTGCATGGGGCTGTGCTCTGACCTTTTCCTGTTGCAGGCAAACCTGGAATCTGCCCGATAGATCGTTGCAGATGCACTGGCCCTCAACCTGATGAGTGCAGAGATGACTATATTTGCCTAGGACAGAAAAAGTGTTGCTATTCCTGTTGCGCCATGCGCTGTGTGGATCCAGAATTCCGGAATGTGGAATGTAAGTGGGACTGTGGATTCCTGAGTCTGTGGGTGTAATTCTGATGCCCCATTTTACCTCTTTCTCCCCTTCGAATATTCATCAGCACAGTCCTATGCCTCTATGTCCTTTGTTTCTGGGAAAACCCAGCCAGATGGGTGGGATATAAAATAATAATAATTTGTTTCAAGTGAATACAGTAGATTCAGTCCCTATATTCTCTCTTGCTCTCTCTGCTTCCTTTTCAAACTGTTGAGGCAGTCTGAGCATCACCTTCCCCTCACCATTCATCTATTCAGCTCGGTAGGGGCAGTTGCTGTCTCCCATATAGCTTTGCAGAGGAGAAGAGAGGCACACACACATGCACACACACACCAGGTCCAAAACAGCCTTTTCAGGCCACTCACATTGGAAATTAATCTACACACCTTTGGGGATGGGTGGTTTAATAAATTATGTCTAACTCAAAGTATGGGAGGAAAATAGGAATCCCTGTTGCCAATGTCTGTGTGTGTGTGTGGGGGGGGGTAATTAATAAAAGAATTCACTGGATGCCTGGATTCAAAACACTGGGCCTTGCACACTCTCCAGCAGTAGAGTTTAAACACCCAAAGGTCAGGCAGCAGTATAGTGTTAGGAATATAGGCTGTTAGACCTTTCTATCCTATTTAGTCTGCTTGTAAACAGTGCTCCTTTCTTTCCACCCCTCTTGCAATAAACACACCGCTTACAGAATATTCTAAAGGTCAGATTAATGCATTTATCCAAGCAGCAGCAATGAGAGCACAGGCAGAATACTATTGGGTAGAAAATACAGGAAGATAGCTTCAAACACATGTTCTAAGCTTGGAGCAAAGCTTAGATATGGCATCCATGATCAGTTGCATGGAGTGGAGAGAGAGGGAACTGGAAGAGAAGCAGCTTTACTTCTTCCCTCATGGAGAAGAGGGTGATCCAGCTGAGAATTCTAGGAAGAGAATTCTCTGATCTTAACCCCTTCATGCACTAACTAGCACTCATGGATATATAGTACATATAGTACATGGCTTCCGAACTGTAGTTTACGGTTGCTGGAGTTGTGACTGTGTGTGTGTGTGTGTGTGTGTGTGTGTGTGTGTGTAAGTGTAAACAACATGTCCGCTTTAAATGTACTGTGTGTAAGCAGTCTTAGAGGAATCACTTTAGTTTCTATGTACAGTACATAGGGATTCAAGGGAGAGGACAGATAAAGGACATGGTGCCACTGATTTGGAATTCATTGCCAGATATTCTAGATTTAACCATCACTACAAACAATGATGACCTTTCATTGTGTGCTTTGCAGATTAAATAGCCACCTGCAAAGGCGAGGTGTGTGACTAAGCCTATTGTTCAGGAATAATTGTTATTTGAATCAGGTTATTGTTGATTGATTGATTGATTCATGTTTACCTTATGTAACAGTTTCTCTCATTCCAAACCCATTTATGTTGACATTGTGCAATATCTTTGCTCTGCACTTCATGTGCACCCCATAACAAACTTGCCCTTGTGCAAACTCCAGGCAGGACCAGCTCACCTATTTAAAAACAAAACATCCTGAGTCTGAACAATGAGCCGTTTGCCCTTTCTATTATAAATAAATAAGTATGTAAGTAAGTTAAACACACACATACACACACACAGAGGAGAGAGAGAGAGAGAGAGAGAGAGAGAGAGAGAGATGTACACCAGGGATGGGGAGACCCAGGTCTCTCTGTCTGACCCGTAGGACTCTTCCCAGCTAACACCTCCTCCTCTGACAACGATCTTTAATTAGCACCAATACAATGAGAGTGAAAAGCCACTAAACAGTTAATGTATCTTGGCTCAGAGATCAAAGTGGCCTTCCTGGACTGTGCCTTGAGTTTCTCTTTCCACCTTCTTCCTTGCTTCTGCGGTAACAAGTAATGACTGGTGATTCTACGTAAGGAGCCAGTTTACATATTATAGCCATGTCTGTCTTCCACTTTGTGAGAGAGAAACGTACTCTGCAACAAAATTCACATGAGTGGCCAAGAAGGGCTCTTTGCAAACCAGATCTCCTGTGTCCTAACAACTGCTAGAAAGTAACGTTCCCAATGTTTTGATTTCCTTCCAGGATGTTTCCCCTTCATCCTAAAATGGCTGAAGACCACAGGTGTTGGTGGCTCATCATGCTTATGAAGATTGGAAGAGAAGCAAAATGTTTGAGTGGGAAACGGGCTTCTTTTTCATTATTCGTTCTATTTCCCTGCTAATAAACATTTAAAAAAAGAAAGCTTGGTCACTTGTGATGATTCTCTCTTTTCTTTTTCTTGAATTGCATGTGCTGCTGCTGCTCATCCCTGTAGGTTTACAGTCTAAAGGAGAGGCAACACGGGTTTAGAAGTTAAAGTGTCCGACTAGGAGTTGGGAGACCAGGTTTCGAATCCTCACCCAATAAGCTTCTTAGAAGCTTAGGTAGGATATAGATGGAATAATAAGTAAGCAACTGACTGAGCTCTTCTATCCCAGCCTGATCACTGAGAATGTTTAGATGATGATGATAAGAAGAAGAAGAAGAAGAAGAAGAAGAAGAAGAAGAAGAAGAAGAAGAAGAATTTTTTACTTATACCCCGCCCATCTGGTTGGGTTTCCTCAGCCACTCTGGGCGGCTCCCAACAGAATATTAAAAACACGATAAACATTAAAAACTTCCCCAAACAGGGTTGCCTTCAGAAGTCTTCTAAAAGCCAGATAGATGTTTATTTCCTTGACATCTGATGGGAGGGCATTCCACAGGATGGGCGCCACTACCAAGAAGGCCCTCTGCCTGGTTTCCTGTAACTTTGCTTCTTGCAATGAGGGAACCGCCAGAAGGCCCTCAGCACTAGAGCTCACTGTCTGGACAGAACAATGGGAGTGGAGCTGCACCTTCAGGTATACTGGGCCAAGGCCGTTTAGGGCTTTTAAGGTCAACACCAACACTTTGAATTGTGCTCGAAAATGTACTGGGAGCCAATGCAGGTCTCTCAGGGCCGGTGTGATATGGTCTTGGTGGTCACTCCCAGTCACCAGTCTAGCTGTCGCATTCTGGATTAGTTGTAGTTGCACAACATGTAAGCAGTTAAAAGACTATCCAGAGCATATGGTGACTTCTAGGTTAATGTACAGCTGGAGAAGCCTGTAAGGCATTTAGTATTTTCTTCTAGGGAGTGACTGGAGCAGACTGAGACCAATTTCTGAGTCTGGGGCATTAATGTTACACAGAACAACAGGAGGAATTAGGAACATGTAGGGTTTTCTTGGAAGACAAACAGGAATAAGAGATCTGAAGGGTGGTGGTGATGTCTCAGTGCCCCAATGCAAAGGTAAATGTTGCTTTCTTCTCCAGAATTGGTGGTGGTGGTGGTGTGGACACACACTATTTTCTTCCTTCCTTTCTTTTTCTTTCTTTCTTTTCAAAGTAAGTTAGAAAGCAAACTGTGGAGGCAACATTCTAAGGCTGCAGCAGGCAACAACACTGTAAAGACAGTTAATCACTTAATTACAATTGCTAAGCAATCAGAAGATAATTAAATGAGGCATTTCCAGTATCTTTCCTGCTGAAGAGATTCACTCTCCTCCAACAAAAACAGCTTGCAATGAGATGCAAAGTGAATGATGTGGGAATTAATGAGGAATGGGGGAGAGTAGAGCAGAGTAATTGACATTATATGCACTTATAGGGGCTCATTACCTTTGGCCAGCTGAGCAGCCCTACTCTGGACTTGGGCCTCCCAGAGCAGCAGAAAAAATAGGAGAACCTTGTTGTTGCTGCTGGGGCTGAAGGAGCAGGAGGTTAACCTGCCTGGGTACTTTACACAGGTGCATTTGTTTGAACACTTTACTCCAAGTCCACATTATTTAATCCACTCACCAAGTGTTCTTTGCAGGATAAAACACAATTGGCTGGATCAGGTATGTTTTACACAAAAGTAGCTCTCTTGAAAGAAATGATGCTTCCTTCCTACTGAGAAGAAAAGTCACATTGCACTCCCTCTTTCTGATTTTCTGTTTTCCCTGCACAGCTGTTCCTGGCATGCTTGCCATCACTGGGCTGATATACAGCAATATACAGCAACCATAAAAGCAAGATACAAAATGAATCAGGAAATAAAACCATCAAAACATTTCACAGCAGCAGAAAGTTAAAATTCCTATAGACTGCATTTTAACACAAGGATATTCAAGGTTGGCAAAACGTTGTGTGTGTGTGTGTGTTTTGCTTAGAGTTGGGGAAACCGAACATTTCCTGCTTCTTACATATTTGTGTCTTGCTTCTCTTCCTCCCCCCACTAGAGCTCAAGAGATTGTTGTCGTCTCTCTCTCCCCCCCCCCCCATCTTCATAACATCTCTGCAAGGTAGCAATTGACAGTTCAGTCACCAAGGCTGTGAAATTGCAAGCAGCAATTCTTGCCGATAGGTTGTTCTGAGCGGGGGAAATACATTTGTTTGGTTGGGTCAAACAGTCCACTTACCGGTAGCAGTGGCTAGCAGGGCTCTTTCAAGTCCTGACACTGCAGATTGCTGCTAGGTAATAAAAGACAGACAGAGAATAAGCAAGGCAGCGGCGAGAACAGCACTGTCTGAGCATAGTGATGGAGCCAACCTGATGTTCCTGATTCTATGCCAAGCCAAGCTCCCCGCTGCCTTTCCCTTCCCGCTCTTGGTAAAGAGCAGCAACATCCCTGCAGAAACCTCTGACCTTATTTTGCTGGAATGTCGCCTGGAATGTAGCTACTGCAGCTTCTTACAAATGTCAGAATCACATCCCTTGCCTCACTTGCTTTTCTGCTTTGGACCATCTACCTTTGGCATGCAGCCTGCAGAAGGTTGTCCAAGGGGACTAAGTAAATAAACAGACCAGGATGTTTTCACATGCAAAATGTGGAGTTTGGGTCGTGCATAAACTGTAGGTGGGTGAGACCTGTGGAACACGAATGGTAGAGAAATGTGAGAGGTGACACACAATGGTTACCTGTCCCGTGGATGAATGAGCAGGGACAATGCTGGTTCCTTGCAATTTCACCTTGGCCTGCTGGTGGGTGGACTTGGGGATCTCCAAAGAGACTTGGCTGTGGATTTGGAGAGGGAATGGAGTCCTTTCAGAACAGAGAGTCAGTTAGTCGCACTCCTCAAGAACCTCCAATTGGTCCACGCCCTGACAAGGCTCAGGTCTGAGCTTTGTTGTTGTTTAGTCGTGTCCGACTCTTCGTGACCCCATGGACCAGTGCACGCCAGGCACTCCTGTCTTCCACTGCCTCCCACAGTTTTGTCAAACTCATGCTGGTAGCTTCGAGAACACTGTCCAACCATCTCATCCTCTGTTGTCCCCTTCTCCTTGTGCCCTCCATCTTTCCCAGCATCAGGGTCTTTTCCAGGGAGTCTTCTCTTCTCATGAGGTGGCCAAAGTATTGGAGTCTCAGCTTCAGGATCTGTCCTGCCAGTGAGCACTCAGGCCTGAGCAGTCATGTCTAATTCCAATAATATCCCTTAATGGGGAAAGCTTATTTGTGGTGAGGCAGTGGCTTGTGCTTTCCCATGAGGATCCTTTCCTACAAGGAAAACAACCACAAACATGATTTAGAAGCAATGGGATGAGAGAAGAGGCCAAGGAGGTCTAGCTGACAAAAGAAAAGGCCTTGTTCCTGGAGCAATCCAGAGTCAGAGCAAAATGGAGGAAAGAGCAATGTGTAGTAGCCTCTCAAGTGTCAGTCCCACGAGAACAAACAAACTGAGTATTAAGGTGTTCTCGATTATACAGAAGGCTGGGCTCTGATGCAGAGGATTATCTTGTGAAGAACAGGGCTTGGTAGGGTGGACATTCCATGACAAAGGACAGGTAATCTGTCATTACTTATAGGACTTAATTTTTCCCATGCAGCACAGTCTCAAAGGGTGTCTCTTAATCAATCAGAGCATGCTTTATTTAATAGGTATCAGTGTGTACACTGCAAGGATTAAGCTTGTGCTACACAGGGAATGGAAACAAATGTGTTTAATCAGGGTGGAATATGCTTGCTGGGGGGAAATCCATGACTTGCAAGGGATAATTAAGGGCCACATTACAGATGCTGGCTGCATTAGCTGTGTCACCAATTCTGGTGGGATAAATTAGACATGCACTAACTGTTGTGATCCAAGGGGAAGTCCATTTCTAGGTCACTGCAGGGAATTCCTTGCAAATAGCAGCCACCCTGGTGAAGAATTTTGGATGAAACTGCTTAACAAAACGATACTTGACTTGAGCTTCCTCTGATCTCAAGTACAGTCACCGGATTCTTTGCTAATTGAAATCAGTGAAATTACACACATAGTCTTGGGTACAAGTACAATGAAATCTTACTGTATTTACTTATTGCATAGTCTTGGGGCATGCACAGAGTTCCAGTTCAACTGAGCTGCTTGATTACACCTTTCAAAAGAACCAAGTTGCATGGAATGGCAGAAAAGGTTAATTATTGGCAACTTTTGACACATGGTAGACCAACCTTTCTTAACTTGGTGCTGTCCAGATGTTTTGGACGACAATTCCCACCAGCTCCATTCATTGTATTGGCTGGGGATGATGGGAGTTGTCACTCCAAACATCTGGACAGCACCAAGCTGGGGAAGCTCATTGCAGATTATAATCTGTTAATTCCAATGTCTACTGTTGCAAGGTGTGACATAGATGGAAACTATATACAACCCAACAGAATTAGCAAGATGCACCAGCTAAGAATGAGGGCGTGAAAAGATGGCATCATCTCCTGACCCACCCCTACCAATATAAATACTGACTTAGCTCAGTCTTGGGCATTGATATCTGACTAACATCATGAAGACTTTAGGTGCCTTCCTCCTTCTCAGCATCCTAGTCCTTTCTTCACAGATGCCACCTGCATCTGGTGCAGGAAGACCAAAAGGTAAGTCCCAAGACAACCATATACTATAAGGGGTATTTTTGCTTCTGATAAAGATGGGCATTTCCCCCCTGCCACCATTTCATCCTTTGAAATCAGATCAGTGCAGGGTTAGCCAACATGGTACCCTCTGAATGTTGGTGGGCTCCAACTCCCATATGCCAGCATAGCCAATGAACAGAGATCAAGACAGTTGGAATCTAACAATGTCTGGAGGACATCATGCTAGTAACATTGATCTTAAGGGATGCTTGCGCTGTTGGTGACCCACTAAGCCAAACATCCATTCAACTATGGGCTGGTCCATGGTAGAGCCTGGTGTGGTTCTGGCAGGTGAGAGGGTGGGGACTGGTGGTTATGGAGAGGGGGCAGCCTGAGACTTTGGCAGGTCCTGGAGTGGGAATGGGGTGTGTCTAACTGGTGCCAGAGTAGAAAGATTAAAAAACAAACCAACTACTTGCTGTCTCCGTTTCAATTACTTTGCGTGTTCAATAGCATATCTGATATTGAAGTCAAGGGCAGAATAACGGATGAGCAGGCAAACACTTGACAAATAGCAATTCTAGCTATGCTGAGGAGCATGCTTTTAATACTGGCAATGTTTCAGGATAGCCCTCCTGCAGTCTTCTGTAGCTCGTCTTGTCTAGCAAACTCCTCCTGCTTTTCTCAGAGCAGGGAAACCAGTTTCCATAAAGATTGCTGAGGAATTCTCCCCTGTTCTTTCAATCTGGAATCAGACTTAAGCTATGGAACTTTTCTTCTGAAAGGATAAGTCTATAAATGGATACTAGTCACATTGGCTATGTTCTGCCTCCATGGCTGGAGGCAGTAATTCTTCTGAATACCAGTTGCTGGAAACTACAGGAGGGGAGAGAGCCCTTGGGTCATGTCTGGGGGTTTCCCACAGGCATCTGGTTGGCCACTGTGAGAACAGGATGCTGGACTAGATGGGTCACTGGCCTGATCCAGCAGGCCCGTCTTATGTCCTTAAGAGTAATTATTTGGCAAGTCCAAGAAGCATAACAATTCTGCCCCTTTTCTTCTCATTCCATGTTTGCTCTTTTCTGGTGCAGAGAAACCAGGACAAGTGCCCAGTGGTTACTGTAAGATGTCGGATTTATGAATCCCCCAACCATTGCAGTAACATGGCTTTGACTGTACAGCGGTCCATGAAGTGTTTGCACAGGGATAATGTTGGAAAAGAACCCCGGCATCGACCAGTATTTGGTACTGTATGCACTCACAAGATAATTGTATTGGCTGTTGATTCAAGCTTTTCCTTCGCCAGCGGACCGCCCATTTAGCATTTCCGGAGCTTGTGGGGTGGCATATATGCGCCCGAGGTATTGGATTCCTTTGAGGGAGAAACAAATCGGGAAATTTGAAAAGTACTCGTTGTTGCTTGCATCTCAGGAAAGGATCGGTTGGTCTGTTGAAATGTTCAGTTTCAAGCATGGATGGCTGGAGAAGAAGAGGCTTAGCATTCTATTATGGCAGGGCTAGCCAACATGGTGCATTCCAGATTTATCCAACTACAAAACCCATCAGCCCTAACTAGCATGGCCAATGGTTAGGGATGGTGGAGGATGCAGTTCACAATGTTCAAAGGACACCACATTGGCTACGTCTGTATTATGGGATGCAGATCTGGCTCACCCATTAGGCAAGCTGAGGCTGCTGCCTCAGGCAGTAGAAGACCCCCAGGCAGCATCTCTGCAGCTACGCCACCTGCTCCATCCCCTTCACCAGTGGTGGAGTGGTCTCACCCAAAATTGGTATGATCTTGTTGGAAATTGGCACAAATGGTGGTGCTGCTTCTGCGCCATTGGCAGATGCAGCAGGGCGCATGGCTAAGCAGGTGGCGGCGGAAGGAGCAGACAGGTAGTGGTGGTAGCAGCAGCAGTGGCGTGGCAAGGTGGCACTTTCCCCTTTCCTCAAGTGGCGAGACTGGAAGCACCACCCCTGACGGGATGCAGCAATGGTGGAGAAAGGTGGGGTTCTTTTCATTTTAAGTGAAGACTGAGATCTCTCAGCAATGCAGAAGGGCTCCCTACCCTCCTTCACCAACTGCAGGGCATCTCTATGGATCAGAGTGACTTTTCTCCAAAGCCACTCTGTTTGTGCCCAGTGACATTTTTGCTACCTGGATCCAACAGTTGCTGGAGATCGAGAGTGGAAGGACACTGAGAATTTATCCGTTGGGAATAACGGGCCTGTGTTAGTTATGTCCATTAATTCCAATAGGTCAACTCTGAGTGTGGCCAACATTAGAAGCAACCCATGATATGCAAAATCTGTGTTCCCCTTCACTGGAAGTGACATCAGGCATGATGGTGGCATCTTAACTCTCTTCTAACTGTAGTATAACTGTTGGTTTTGGTATGGGAGAATGTAATCCCAGGTGGAATAGATGGAGGGAGCATCCTGATATTGTCCTGGTCTCCTTTCTCTTATTCTTACAGGGCAATTCATTACAGAATCATAAAATTGTAGAGTTGGAAGGGACCCTGAGGGTGATCTAGTCCAGGGGTCTGCAACCCGCGGCTCCGGAGCCGCATGTGGCTCTTTTACACCTTTGCCGTGGCTCCGGGGCGGATACTAGCGAGGGGAGGAGGCGCATTGTGCGCCCCGACACTCCCCACTGTGGTGGGCGCTGTACTTGCTGTGACGTTGCATGGGGGCGGTGCGTGCATTAGTCACGCACCGTCCCGACGTCACCTTCCCGCCCACTGTCAGATCGCGGCTCCGGAGATATATTTGTTTTAAATGTCACAATGGTTTTGCGGCTCCCAGTTTTTTTTCCCCTTCGGAAACAGGTCCAAGTGGCTCTTTTTGTCTTAAAGGTTGCAGACCCCTGATCTAGTCCAATTATTATTCATGACTCATGCATATTACACTGCAGCTCTATATTGTTGCAGATCCAATCGTGGATAATCATAACCTAATTATAAATCTAAATATAAATTACTGAAGTATTTAGGCTCTTGGTGCTTATTAGATTCAGAGACTTTCGTCAGAGATATGTCATGTTACAGCAAGAGAAGATATTATGTGTACTAGAGAAGCCAAGGTCAACAACTCCTTCTTCATATAGTTCAGACAGGGCATGAGAATTGTATAACCTGCACTAATCCATGCAGAATGTGAGTCATTATCACACTGCAACATCTGTGATGGTAGGATTTAATCAAATAGATCTTCCTCTCCTCTTTCCTGTAGCATAAATTCTTGTTTCACTGATGGACACCCAGCAGCAGCAGCAGCAGCAGCAGCAACAACAACAGCAGCAACAGCAACAGCAACACCACCACCAACAACAACAACTACAACTACAACTACAACTACAACTACAACATTGCAACAAAAACATCTGTTCCATCCATGGACATTATTCTGATTGGTAGTCACCAGCCAACTACTTGCCTCATTTGCAGGAGGAAAATTTAGCTGAATGATTCATTGATTTGGATCTTTGGGTCTCTAAAGTATTTGAAGCCCTTGATTTGGAGAGGGAAATGATAATCTCTCCATTTATGTCTTCAGCTCCCAAAGAAAGGCCCATTCGTTGCAAAGCTAACTCTTAAGATATCATTCTTCTGATTTACTGTAGACAAACTAATATCCGAGACAGAACTGAGCTGAAGCTGCTTTCCGCTTTTCATGTCGGCCTTTCATAATAACAGCTTCCCTCTTTTTTGCCTCTTATTGGAGTTGCTCTCAAAAGTCTCGTTCATTTTGCATTGCACAAGTCTTCACTGAAATTATGTGCGGACGTGATAGCATGCACTTCTGGTGCCTAATATGTTATGCCCTTAGGAGCAACATATTCAGCCATAGCCCCAGGAAGAAATATCTCTGTACCTTTCTATCTCTGTTTTGTGGTGTTGGATGGCAGACGTGTGCCTACTTACAAACAGCCTCCACTGGCCTCCACCTAAAACAGTTAGTCATGAGCAACAACAACCCACATAATAGAGAAAGGGGCACAGGGACCATACCTTATGGCAGTGCCAGATGCCAACTCAGTCTCCATGTCTACTCTAGCAACACTTGAACAGGACCTAATACTGTCTCCCACAGGGGTGCATTCCCCTGCCCATTTTCCACTTTGATTTCTACCATCACCTGCCCAAAATATCCTTCTGTATTCAACATAGAATTGACAGGCCAGTCTCTACACCTGAAAAATATATGGATACAAACCTGACCTCACAATGGCAATACCCACAAACCAGCAGCAGAACATTTCGGCCTCCCAAGACTCTCTGTAACTGACCTCAACGTACATATTTCACAACAAAGGGACTTCGAATGAATAAATACAATGTGAAACAACTGAGTTACAATTTGTCAAGAAGTTCATTGCCATCACTTGTGGGTCAAATGAAGAGAAAGGATTTTAATAAAGTACTTTATTATGGTGATAGAGCAGCGTATTTTTAAAAATCAAATTACCAATCAATGCCAGGATATCTGTGCCATCAATGGCTTTCTTACGAATGGTTCCCTGCCTCACTGTGTGTGTTGATAGAGTCATCTCAAAACCGATGAGTCAGTTATCATCAAACTGCAGCTGTAAAGGGTGTGCCTATTTAACTTACATATACATTCTAATTACTACTCTGATTGTATCTCATTACCATTCAGTTTTTGCTTTATACCTTTCTCCCTTAAATACCTGCCAACTAAGAATTCACTTCATGCATCCAGTGAAGTAGGCTTTAGTCCATGAAAGCTTGTGCTGCAATAAACCTTAATAAATCTATTTGTCTTTAAGATGCCTCAAGCCTCGTTGTTGCTCTAACAAGATTTGTTTGCCAAAGTCAGAAGCAATTACTTCTGAACCTGGAACTTGATATCTGCTAATCTTAGCTATTCAGTAATATTTGTTTTGTGGCAACCAGCCAAGTCAAATTGGATGCTCTGCTATTGGCCACACGAATGCTCTTGATTGAGAAATGTGATAAACAAGAAAATGCAGCTCTGCAGGTGCATGACAACAG